CAAAGGTGGAAAAATGATAATTAGTACTTCAACCCTCGTCTTTGAGTTTCATTAAGTCTCCCCTCCGACAAGCCTTGAAGCAGTCTAACATTTGTAGACATTGAAATTTCGCAGGACTCTATAAAACATGTTCAATTTGATTTGGACTCTACAAGATGTGTCCAATTCCCATTAGGATTCTTAGAGGCTATTCAACCCTAAACCGTAATACATATCTATACAAATTCATAGAATATTCATAGACAGATTAAAATCAATTATCCTAGTTTAAGAAATACGCCACAAACGGTATAAATCATATGAGAGAGGAATCAAGAAATCATTAGATTTGTACTCATAATCTTGATCAATAAACTTATATATCTTTAAATTTTATTCGTAATTATAATTTATTTTCTATCACTTTAAAATCCATTTTTCAGTATTCTTGCAAGTGAAATGAATAAAAAAAAAAAATAGAGAGAGAGAGTGTACAAACTGGGATCACGAACAGTGGCTTTGACAGTATAACCACGCTGAAGCAAAAACTTCACCAACCATGAAGCTATGTAACCTGAAACTCCTGTTACACACACTGTTTTTGTCGCCATTTTTTACTCACTGTGAACAGACTGAGTGGTGTGAGAAGGCCAACAAAAGATGTATTTATAGGAAAGAGAAAAAAATATGCACTTCTTTTTTTATTTTTTATTTTCCACTCGGTGTTGAATTCGCGCTGGAAAATCCAATATTGGGGGTAAAGCGCTCCTAACAAAAGTGACTCAGTACCCAAGGAGTAGGAATGACAATGGAGTGGGGTGAATGTGGGGTGGGGGATTTAAGGCTATGTGGGGCGGGGAGGGTTTAAGATTGTGTGGTGCGGGTTGAAGTGGGTTTTTTAAAAATTAATGTGGGGCGGGGTGGGTTGCGGGAATATGTGATTTTATGTGGGTTCAAACTTAATTTTAACTTTTTACATGTTATAAAAATGATAGAGCATTATTTATTAAGATAATTTCATTAAAGCTACTAACCTATTCAAGATAAAAAATGAAAATGGTTCAATAAAAAATAATACAATTTCTTACATGTTTCCCAATTGACCTCTAAAAAATAAAATTTTAACTCACTATCCTATTAAATTAATACAACTTAATGAAAAAATGAATTTATTTTTATGATTTTTATTTTTAGTATCAAACATACCTGGAAAAAGAAAATATTAAAACAATTATGCGGGGCGGGTTTATGCGGGGCGGGGTGGGGCGGGTTAAATTTTTTATGGGTTAAGCTCAACCCACACCGCCCCCGCCCTACACCGCCCCATTGCCATCCCTACAAGGAGGTTCGAACTCGAGACTTCTTGGATAAAGATGAAGGAGTACTTACCACTCTATCACAATCAATATGAACTTTGTTTTATATTACTCAGTCTATGTTGAACTAACTGATACTTTTTAAAAAATAGGAAAATTAAATGGTTACGCAAACATAAACTAGTCAATTAGTCATCATAGAGATAATATTAGTTAATTACCATTCACAACATAATTATGTGGATTGAGATTTCGAGTTTGTATAATTCGCATGTTTGTATAATTCAAAATTTGTATAACTGTTTAAAGTTCAAATGTTTATGTTTATATAAATTCGTTATTTCAAATTTATACAAAAATAACTCAATTATACAAACATACCCTCGAATTATACAAACGAGACAACTTAAACTGTAGCTACAACCCGTAAATATATAAACTATAACTATGGAGCATAATTAAGTTTATTATAGTGACTATTTGCGAAAATCCCCCCCCAAAAATAGTATTACTGATGATTTAAAATACGTGTCAACTTAACTCATTTCTTATCTATTATTTCTCCCGTTTCGATTTATGTGTCATTATTTAGATTTCACGTTCCTTAAGAAATTAAGTAAATTTAGTGTTATGACTATAATTAATGATAAGAGTAAATTAGGAACTAAGTGTAAAATTATTCATTGATTTCATAAAGTGGACAAGTATTGTTAGACATCTCAAAATAGTATAATGGATAACTATTATTGAACGGATATATGGAGTATTATATACTCCTCCGTTTCTATTTACTTGTTAAATAATTTTTAATTTGATTTTTTTTACTTGTTATTATTGACAGATTAAAGGAAGGACATATTTTTTTCTTCATATTACACCCTCAATTTATTAATATTGAGTTAATGTCTTTGAAAAATGTAGTAAGTAAATATGTTTAAGACTATCAATTAATATGGATAAAATGGTAAACACATTATATCAATCATTATTTTCTTAATAGTTGTGTCAAGTCAAAATTTGACAAGTAAAAAAGGAAGGAGGGAGTATTAAAAAAATTACTCCATCTGTTCAATCGGCTATTGACTTGACACACACCTTAAGAAAATAATAAATAATTGGGGTCATATTACTATGATATCATTTTACTTTATTTTTGAGAAATGTGTTAGATAATAAATCGTACTCCCTTTGTTAAACAGTATTTGTCCACTATTGACTTTGCACAATTATTAAAAAACTATAAATAGAAGAGTGATTTTACTATATTACCCTTTGAATATAATAACTATAATGTCTTGAAAAATATAATAGAGAAACAACTATAGTTAATAATAAGGGTAAATTAGAAACAAAGTGTTGAATATATCCCAAAATAATATAGTAGACAACTATTACTAAACGGAAGGAATATTATATTTATTCATATACTTTCTGTAAAAGGTTATGTTTATTCTTTATCATAATTGTTTTGATATATTTATCTTTTATCATTCAATTTTAGGTTTATATCATCCTTGAGTAGTTTATTTTCATGTTTTTACGCTTATTATTGATGTGGTGTCTATGTAAATATATTTTTATTCTAATAAAAATTGTTCTTAATATAATTTTTTTACTCAACTCAATATATTTATCTGATTTAATCATTGCTAGCCTTCATTAACAACTATCATCGATCATCACCATTGTCAATTCTTATAATTTACCATCATTTATCATTATCACTAGCAATTATTTAAGATCATTACTATTAACTATCGTTATTATAACATCATAATATTAAATATGTATTTAAATTCAGATATCTAAATTTTAATATATATTTTAATATTTTTAAATTTAAACATCTTAATAAAAATAAATGGAGCCTAAAAAGATCATGGCGGCTAAGGAGAAATTGACAGAAGGAACATAACATTGATTTATTATTATAATAACATCATAATATAAAATATATATTTAAATTCAGATATCTAAATTTTAATAGATATTTTATTATTTATATTAAACATCTTCATAAAACATAAATGGAAACTTTAAAAAAAAATTCGTGGCGGCTAAGAAGAATTGATTGAAGGAACATAATGTTGATTTATTATTGTAACATCATATGATATTGAATATGTATATAAATTTCAGATATCTATAATTTTAATATTATTTTATTATTTTAAATTTAAACATCTTAATAAAAATAAACGGAGACTAAAAGAACCGCGACGGCTAAGGAAGAATTGATAGAAGGAAGGAATTATTATTTTAACATTATAATATTAAATATATATTTAATTTCAAAATCTTAATAAAAACAAATGGAGCCCAAAAAACCGCAGCGGCTATGGAGGAATTGATAGAAGGGACATAACGTTGAATGCTTGCTTTTTTGGTCTCTTACGTACGATAGTTTAATTCTTAGAAATAACTTTTTTCTTGAAAAATATTTTTACAAAAATAATTACAAATTTTAAAAAGTTTGACCAAAAAAGAGCTATAAAAAAGTTTGGTAGTGGCTTTTATAGTTGGAGATATAATATAAAGGGGTAATTATTGAATTGTTGTGTTAATGCGTTAAGAAAAAAAGTATCGATCCAATGTATATTTATTAAGAAAAAAAAGTTCAAGACGTAATTGGATGTCATTTTTTATTTTCACTCTTTTAGTTATTTTCAAATTATTCTTAAAAATATAAATAATTCAAAGTAAAATCATAAATATAAACGATCAACTCTCTTAAAATCATCACCTAAAAAATATATATGACTTATGAGGAGAAAAATGAAAAAAAAAAAAAAAAAACTCAATAACCCTCTTAAATATTGGACAATTCACTTATTTTGAACTAAAAAAACTCAACTATTTATTTATTTTGGAATGGAAAAAGTAATAAAGAATGAAAATAACGATGACATAAAGATGAGAACAAATAGATTTAATGACTGTCTATTTTAAAAATAGTTTTAGTCAAATTTGATCTAATATATACTCCTCCACAATAAAGTACAATTATGACTTTACACTTTTTCGTGGAATAAGATATCTACTTACACTCTCCCCTCTTCAAACACCACTTATAAAAATATACTAAATATATTATTTATCGTTAGTCAAAGATTTAAACGTTAGGTAAATGAAAGGATACCACTAAATGTGACAGATCCAAAATTGAAGTCCCAATTGGAATCAAAAGCAAAAAACATCACTTCTCTATTTCAGAAAAAAATCAAGTTGGTTATAAATTTTTCTTATTATTTATTATTTATTTGCTAAAATTGAGTAATTTTTTTTTTAAAAATACTCGAGTTGATTATAAATTATGAACTAATGAATAAGCCCTATTATTGGTTATTGAAACACTAATGACTTTCTAAAAAAGAGTTTGTCTTGTTGATCGAGTGCTAGGAATTTCACGAAAAGTGTCAAAAAAAGGAAAAAAAAATTATTGTTAGTGAGATTTTGTCGAAAGGGGAATTTCACGAAGGGTCTCTAGAATATGCTATTTAATCACTTCGTGTATCATTTTACATTTTCCGACGAAGAGTGTCTAATTGGATACCCTAACTATAACATAGCTACGCTCCTGAACACGAAGGATGAAAGCGAGTCAGTATGCCAATTCCTCATTTGCAAATCAGCCCTTCCCGTTGGTTCTATTTCACTCACTTGTCAATACGCGAAAAATTCGCGTAAAAATAACCATACAAAAAATGGTACAAACTTCCTTCTATATTCTTATTATTATGATTATATGTGTAAGTTACAAACAACAATAAAGCACCTAAAGTTGAGACTCATCATCCACATAGTTAATTCTACATTTGAACTTATATATATATAGGTGTATATATGTATCATGATCGCTCTGCTTCAAATCAAGACATATTCGGAAAACCTCTCATTTCCTTATCAGATAAAGGATTAGAACATATGATCATGTCTCTCGAGGGCCATCGAAAGATTGCGTCTTCCTCAAATTCCAGTGAAGACCTTCGTGTATGCTACGTAAAAAGTCACTGGTGGAATCAGCTTGGCATGCAGTTGGTACAGGCCAAGTAGCCATGCTACAAACAAGGGCGTCTCCCGGTGCTAACTTTTTCCTGTCTTTTCCATCAAATGACGCCCATGCATGACCTCGACTGTTGAAAGGTACTTGTACTCGGATTGTCACATACTCGGGCAAAATGAGAGGACGAAAGGATAAAGAATGTGGGCATATAGGTGTAAAGAGGATGCCAGGAACCTGCAATATGGTTCGTAACAGTAAAATCGTTAAGGTTATAACCAACTCGAAAGACATCAAATAAAGATAACTATGGAAGAACACATTGCATCATCATTGTGCTAATTGCAAAATGAAATATTAAACATGGAAGCTAAAATCTATCTACGACAACAACATACCCAGTGTACTCCCACAAAGTGGGGACTGGGAAGGGTAGACTGTACGCAGACCTTACCCCTACCTTAAAGGTAGAGGGGTTGTTTCCGATAGACACTCGGCTTAAAATTCTATCTACATCCATTTAAAATTCAAACCCCGAAGCAAGGGCCAATAGTATGCAACTTAATATACCACTTTAAAATGAGGAACCAGAAATGGTTAAACCAGTGTTTCTTTACTTCCTTGCCTTCCAGTTTAAAGTAATCTCGCCAATTTAAGCACTAACCGAAGACAGATTTTATGGCTAATTAAGTTTTCGAAAGTCTCACTCATCCCAAGAGCTTCAAAAGTTCAACCATAAAGCATAATTTTGCATTTAATACAAATAGCTAAATCTGCAAGTTTAGGATGAATACAAAGAAGCAATGCTGACATTTGTCGTGACGTCTTAAGTTGCAGTAAAACAATTGTCAGACACGCGATAACTTATAACATCCATAACTAATACTAACCAGCAGTAGCTCATTAAGCCAAATCATGTCAGCTTGAGATAAAAGTACGGAATCGTTATATAAGTGACGAGTATGAGAGGATTTACCTGAGGATGGACCATTGATCCTCCAGCTGCAAGAGAATATGCAGTGCTTCCAGATGTTGTCGACAAAATTAAGCCATCCCCTTGAACGCAGGTAACAAAAGAATTATCGCAATAGCATTCTAGATTTGTTAAAAATGATGAAATCCCACGGTCAATTGTGACTTCGTTTAGAACAAGTATGGGCTCTTCACTATCCAGATCACTTTTAGCTGAATCTCTAATCACGTGACACTGGAGACGATGCCTCAATGTGATGCTTATGGGACCACGAAGAATTGAATCGAGATATTCCTTGTAACGCTCACTATCTGGAAATGTTAAAGCTAAACAGAGAAGAGTAATAATCATACCAATACAAAGCTACTGTCTTCTGTGTTGTATGTTTAATAGACAGGTTTATACATATATATATATATTGATAGAAGGAGCTCGCTTTCATTTCTTTTATTTCCATGTAATGATGTAATTAGAGTATCCCATTGTAGCTTGCATATACCACATATATGACCGGAAATCTTTTAAAAGGAAGAAAAGGATACAAAATGGGGTCATGAAGCCAAGAGAACCCAAAGAAAATGGGACAACGGGAGGAACTGGACCTTTGAACATCGATGCTGCCTGCAATATAAAACATGTTGCAATTATTAAACACTCTCCCGCCATGAAACATTTATCAAAACCACATGGTAGAAGATAAAATTCTAGTTAATAAAAGACAAAACTAACTACATACCCAAAGGACGGTTCCATCCCCACCAAGAGTTACAACAAGATCAACCTTTGAGTGGAGAGACATAATTTCCTTGTCTGCGACAAACAAGAAGTTGCTTTAGCAATTAGCATTATCTTTTCATACTTATAACAGATACGACGAAAACATTGTTACTATTTTAAGCTTCTCATCCACAACAGCTCTAGAGATTACATGTGCTCATTTCTACTTGATGTTGGTTGAAAGGGTAAGAGGGAATCTCTTAATAGCTGAAATTTAGGTAAGCAGAAAAGTTTTGCAAGAAAATGGTTGCTTCTCGGTTAAAATGGCGAACAAACTTAAAACTGCACAATAGTACGGTAAGATAACAAAAGCAATTAATAGATGCTTGTTTTGAGTTGTTTATCAAAAAAGGACCAGATCATCAGTAATAATTTCCACACACGAAGTTATCCATACACGAAAAGCCTAAACACAGTTCAAAATATAATGAACCCATAATCCAAGATTTGGCCACACAACATAACGTTAAAGTGAAGATTTGAAGAGTTATATACACTTTTAAGCTTACATTATAGAAAGGTAAAAGTTTTACCACTCACCATTTTCCCAAGTTTGTACAAACTGGTAGTATGATGACTCTGTTAGAAGTTCAGTGCGCACCCGCGGTTCAACGACAATGTTCAAGCTTTTCTGCTCTTTTAGCCATCTGGAGAAGAAAAGAGATAGATAAGCCTCTAATAAATTCAAACATATGTAACCAATTAAATAATTGGATAGAGGAAGATGACACAGGAAGGAATGAAATGCACAGAGTGTCATAAATTTTACACCGAACTTCGAAACTTTGTGGTTTTTCCCCCTATTTTCAACTTTATCTATGTAGCTAAGGTCAGACAATGAAAATATGAGAACTAGAAAGTGAGAAAGGAATCCAACAACACGATGATTATACGATTATATCAAAAACAAATAATTGGAGATCACTACAGGGAGGATTTTTATCAAAGGATGGATAATCATTTTAGGCATAACGAAACAAGAATAGAAGTAAACATGATTTGAGGCCTGATAAATGGTAACATCAATTATAACTATGATTTAGGAGAGAACAAGTTTTAAATCAACCAAGAATTCGTTAACCTCCTCTATATAAGGTTGCATAAAGCACCAAGAAGCAACAAAATCCTCAACATAAACCGTAATTCTCCACCATTCCATTGAAAGGATACAGAGGTCATTTATAAGCTGCACACAGTCCTCCACTAGAACTGCAAAAGAAGAATTACCATTTTTTTTGTTTATTCGTAATGGTGGCGCCCGAGCTAGCTTAAGCGCACCTCATCTATTTCAATGAGTACCAAGACAAATTACCAAATTATCCTTGATTCTTGAAACTAATCACTGAAACCTAGAATCAGCTTGTAACATTATTAATAAATGAAGAAAATCCTTAGATATGCTTCGAGGCTTTCCCATATAAAAGTAACGATTTTCTCTTCGTATTTGATTTTCATTCCAAATCATCCTTCCAAGCACAAAAATAGGTGAATCCTTCCCTTTGGGAAATGTGTATTTAAGAAGGGAGTCTATCTAACAACATTGGTATTTTGCAAAGCATACTCTGAATTTCCTATTTAGTTGATTGAAATGAGGATACCATTTTGGAAGTTCCCAAAAAAGGAAAGGACAACGCACACAAGAATTTGAGAAAAGAACCTAATGCCAGAAATGTGTTGTTTAATTATGCAGCTACACCCTACTATTTAAAAGCATAAGTTACCCGAGAGAGGATGACATTTATTACTACATCTTGCGAGGCCGAGCATGTAAGAACTATGGGAATGTCGGGTGATGAATGATGAAGAAACTCAAACTCGAATCTATGGCCATGTTAACTGATGTAACTAGTTACCTTCTGCTTGAAAGCTTTAGCTGTTAAAGGTCTATTTATCTAATTCAAGCAATTAAGAAATCATTTGACCAGTTCTATATCTGCCGAGGATAAACCTTACAAATGTTGTGCGTAAAAACATGCATTACCATTGAGTTCTAGTACATTTTTTTCACAGGAAGACCAAAAGCGTATAAAAAAGAATGATTATACTCTAATATTCTACCTGACCAATTCTGAACAAAGTATTCTAACATCAGTTGAATTTGGCTTTGTCAATATAAGCACTGTTTGTGGGGGAGATTCCCACTTCAAAGAAATCTGAAAAAAAGAAAGAACAAACAAATGATTCCCCGCTCAGACACAAGTGTTTTTCGATAAGTTTGTTTAGCGGAAAGTAAATTTTAAAGCAACAGTAAAAAGAAAGCCTAAGGTATTCATTTGAAGTTCTGTTATCATGGGCAAACAAGGCAAGAAAACTGTAAAATTAGACGGACCTGTTTACTGCTGCGTTCAGCAGTTGTTATGTTTCCTTTTTCAAAAGAGACAATATCGTGTTTTTTCTGATCACTTTTTTCACCTTTGCAACACCATGACAACTTGAATGATGCCTGTTTCATTAAAAGAATTATTAATAGGCAATATTCCAAGAGTAAACCATAAAAGCATTAGAATATAAGAAATAGGACACGGGACAGAAAGATCTTGTCTCGTGCCACACATGCTGAAGTTCATTCTGCATTCAACATTGAAATGGAGCTAAATAAAGCACAACAATTCAACGACATTGGAAGATCTTGCAACAATTACAGCCTCAAAGTAAGCAATAGCTGTCAAATGTGGCAGGATATTTACACAGTGCTCGGAGAAGTATATTTCACACCAACATTTTTTTTTGGGGGTATACAGCCAAGTAATTTGTATAACTAACAAAATCAGTACTTCTAGGAGTCTGTCACAACTGGAGGACACTTATAGGGAAGCCCGGAGCACTAAGCTTCCGCTATGCACGAAGTCCAAGGAAGGGACTGACCACAAGAGTCTATTGTACACAACCTTACCCTACATTTCTGCAAGAGACTGTTTCCACAGTTCGAACTCGTGACCTCTTGGTCACATGACAACAACTTAATTAACCAGTTACACCAAGACTTCCCTTCAACAATGAGGAAACTTAAACTATTTAAATCATTTACAACATGAAATATATATATATCTAAAATCTAGTGAGGACAAAGCAAGCATATTCACACTAACTAATTCACGGCAGACAAAAGTTGAGCAACAAGGAAAGTTGTAGTGCAAACACAATAGGTCTACATGGATCTACCTTTCTGGTCATCTTGTTTGGAACAACACTGGCATCATGATCATGTTCTCCATCACGAAGAACCTGATGAGAGCAAATTCCATGCTCCCCACAACACCTGTCGGATTTCTTCACAGCACCATCTGATAGTAAAGGTTTGTTTGTCAAGTGTACGACTCGCCCATTCTCATCCAAATGCTTCTCTGGTGGCATTGCTACAGTGGAAGCCAACATATTTTACCATAAAGCAAGGCTTTTTCTAACAAACGTAATTCGATAGAAAGCATGTAGTGCTTCAAGAATGATAAAATGAGGAATAATACTTTAACCACAGTTTTCTCAACTCTTTCTACTGTATAGATTGCAGGACTGATTTATGACCTTTTACGACCACACTTTGCTTCAATGTAGTTACTTATCATTTTTAGAGAAAGAAATTAGATGACCAATGTTGTACTAATTAGAGACCAAATTACCCTTTCATCTTCAATTCATTTCTTTGATTCTCCTAGAATCGCTCCCAACTCGTCCATAGATACTTATAATATTTCATTTTACAAAATAAAAAAATAGAGGATTCGGCAAGAACATCTAAGCTAGCATTTTAGTAATCGATGTTCCTAATAGGAAGATTTTGGGATCATCATTGCATTGATAAAGATTTTATTACTTTACAAGAAAAAGCAGTAGATAATAATTTAGGCTATAATGTCTAAGCAAGCATTTTAGTAATCGGTGTTCCTAACACTAGAAAGATATTGGGATCATCATTGCCTTGATAAGATTTTATTACTTTGTGAGAAAAAGTAGTAGATAAGAGTAACAGTTTGTTTGAAATGGTGAAGGGCATCAAAATGTAGACACGATTATTAATGGATCCGGTAATCATGAAGAATAGGAATGGTGATCAGAGACGAGAGAAACTGAGATTGAGATGCAACCAGTGCACAACACAAAAATAAATTTCAGCTGTAGGCAACTGCTGCCAAATCGTGTACTTTATAGTAACACAAAAGTCCTCTTTGGGAGAGTACCTTTATTCTCTAACTGCAAATTATGCGTCCTCTCCAATTCATATTTACGCTTCCATTCAGAAGCCTCAGCTTGTGCAGAAGCCTTCCCTTCAGCAGCTTGTCTTAGTGCCTTTGCGACAGCTAATAAATTAAAGAGTAAAAAAAATTGTATCATATACTGTAGAAAATTCCAAACATTGCCAAATAATTAATCATAGTAAAAGCAGCTCATACTTCTCAAAGCCTCAGCAAACTCAATCAGATGATCATCAATCCCATGAAGAATAGGCTGTTGAATAAGTTCTTCTACAGCCTTCTCAGAATTCAACATGGCAAGTGAATCGCTAAACGTGTTTTCCAGTGGCAGAACACTAGCATTTCCCTATTTAGAAGTGGCCAGAAGTATTGCAGGATGTTAGAGAGCCAAAGACAACGAGTAATGTACAAAACACAGTATCAATGTCTAATACACAAGGAAGCGACGTAGATATAATAGAACATCAGAATCTCAACAAACAAGAGGTGTTGCATTCATAGAAGAAGGTTATTCATGATACGTGCTGTCCAAGAAGTATGTCGATTATTGTTTTTAGTGAAATGCAATAGGCAAGAAAGGGCTTCAACATACTTCGTGTACAACAGTACTCATGCAACATTTCATAGATGATGTTTTTAAGAAAAAAATATAAAAATAAACGAACATACCCTCATAGGTGATGTTAGTATTCTGGTTTTAGTTTAAACAATATCTAAACCTTAAAAAGGAGATAAAACTTAAAAAACTGTAAGATCGCATGATTCCATCTTGTATCTTTTTCCTTCCCTGTATCTCGTACTTCTAGTCATTATTTTCTTTTTGTTGACAAGAGAACCCGCAGCCGCTACTCATTATTAATACTAAATTACCATAAAACATTATCTTAAAATCAGATGCATACAACACGATTATCTTCATTTCAAGAAACAAATTGAAAACAAAAGTGGAGTCTCTCCAAATATTTTGATCATGACTTGGTTATAACATGAAAATAGGTTTGCACTATAGAACAATCTATCAAATGTAATAGGGAAAGTTCATCAACAAGCTGTGAGAATAAATAGAGTGAAATGATTTGAACCCAACCCAAAACCATAACGTAATAAATGGAGTCGCGCACAACCATTACATTTCAGAAATATAGTAAAAAGTTACTATATATCTCTCATGCTCTTCTGCACATGTAACTCGTTTTAGGATTGACATGTCTACTAATGATTTTTTTTCTCTTTAGGGGATCAACGAGCTTAATTCTTCGGAGTTTGAAGTGGCCGACATACTAAAACGTAAGCCTGGAGCAGAGCTAATCAGTCAATAAGTTCAGTAAAGAAAGAAAATGCAAGAGTTAATGAGAACAGACTTGCCAATGAGCATTCAAACTCAAAGTCTTAAGACATTGGATAGATTAGCCATTAGGAGGATCCAATAGTTCAATTGATCATCGAAATTGCTTGACACAACAATGAAATTGCTCAAAAAGTGTCCACCTTAGCCGTTCCAATTTAGCAAGAAAAAAGTCAATCACCCCGCTTCCACCGTGCTTGGTGGGACTCAGTGACGGAGCCACAAGGGGTGTCAAACAACACCCTTTCCCGGAAAATTACACTATTTAGCTAGGTCAATTTTTTTTATGCCTATACTATATGTTGACTTCCCTATGAGACATATATTGTGACACCCCCTTAATAAAAATCCTGACTCTACCACCGACGGAGCTAATACCCCCAAAACATCTCCCTCGATAACAAGACTTGTCATTAATGCATATAAAAACTTCCAATCACCATGATTATTTCGTAAATCAATAATTCAACTATCTCAATCACCCAGAAGAAACAACTAGAAATCATTTCTATATGTCATTGACTTGTAGATCAGCAAAAACTACACATTCTAACAAAATCTACTCCCTCTGTCCCAATTTACGTGGCACAGTTCAAGTTTCGAGATTCAAAGTCCTAAGCTCTAACAAATGCCTGGAAACCACGTAAAAAATACTATAAATCACAACAATTAACAACTTAGTTGACTTGTGAAATGATCAATGATGATTTTCTATATTTAGTCCACAATTGAGCTAAAACCAAACAATTTTCCATTCAATAGAACTAGAAATTCAGTTAAATTCAACAGATTTCATATTGGAAAAATAAATTAAAAACTCAACCAAAAATAAAAAAGGGGGTGGGGTAAGCTTACATTAGAGGTGTGTTTGTTTGGAGACATAGGAGTCTGTTTCATTGACATGAAAAATCAAGAATTCACCAAACACCTCTCTCCTTCTCTCTCTTAAACTATCTCTTTCTCTCTCTACTGAAAATATATCAGTTACAACTTAAGGGATGTTGAAACACACATATACATACAATCAATATATATATATAAGAGGGGGTGGGGTGGGTTGGGGGGCTAGGGGTAAAAAGGGAAATTTGGGTATAGAAGAAAGAAGGTGGTGGGGGCCTATTATAGACGCGTGGGAAGTCAAGGAGACAAGTAGATTTATTTTTTTATATTTTTTTTGGTGTGTTGATCTTTGCATTGTGTTTGGTCAAACTCCTATTTACTCATGAAAAGTCCCTACTAATTGGAATTTTACACTTTTTGGACTTTTTTTTTAAAAAGTTTTGGATTAGCAAGATTTTTTTAGCTCACTCACATTGACTAGAGTTTTTAACTCAATGAGTTTTAACATGTTTTATCGTGAGTCGAGAATTTATTAAAAATAACTTTTTTTTATTTTTTTCATCTTTGAGATAGAGGTAAGGTTTTATGTTCTCTTTATTTTTTTCAAATCACACTTTGTGGAACTACACTGTATATTGTATGTTATTGTTTTTGAGTACTCTTTACTTTTTTTAGATCACACTTCATGGAACTACACTGTATGTTGTTGTTGTTGTTGTTTTGTTGTTTTTGGGTCCTCTTTGCTTTTTTCATATCACACTTCGTGGAACTACATTGTATGTTGTTGTTGTTGTTTTTTAATTCTAGTCCTCTTTGCTTTTTTCAGATCACACTTCGTGGAACTACACTGTATGTTGTTGTTATTTACTTCTCCTTTTATCTTGACTAGAGATTTTAACTCAATGAGTTTTAAGAGTCGTGGATCGAGAGTCTATCGAAAACAATCTCTTTATTCCATGTACCTTTGAGTCTCCTTTATCTTGACTAGAGTTTTTAAATCAATGAGTTTTAAGACTTTTCGTCGTGGGTCGAGAGTCTATTTAAAACAATCTCTTTATTCCATGTACCTTTGAGATAAAGGTAAGGTTTGTGTCCCCATTACTTTTTTCATATCACATTTTGTAGAACTACACTGTATATTATTGTTGTTGTTGAGTTTTAACACTTTTGTTTACATCTCCTCTACTTTGACTAGAGTTTTTAGCTCAATGAGTTTTACCACCTTTGTCTTGAGCGGAGGATCTAACGGAGATAGAACCTCTACTTTACTTTTGAGATTAAATTAAGATATGTGTACATCTACTTTTCTTAAATTTCGCTTATTTCGATTCAGATTCTTTACCTCATTGACCGACATTACAATAGGTGTATGAGTTAGGGAGCGACTACTTGGTTTTTACTCGAGATTACAACTGATTATGTTATTATTATTATTGGTATTATTAAGCTTTAAAACTTTTGTATTTTTGTATATGTAATCTTCTAGAAGTATATAGTTTTTGGTTAGTTCAAAGTTTAGATAGACATATAATATTGACTTGTTCTTCAAAGTATACTTGCTTAGGTCCCTATAATTCATACACAATCTCCATGTTTCATACATAGTGGCTTTTTAAAATGATTTTGTGGCAATTATTTAACGATAATAAAAAATATGATATTTATAATTAACATTTTATATAAATGTCGTTAAAGGCTTTAACGACTCTCGATGTAATGACATTAATTCAATCGTCGCTAAATAGTTTTGTGACAATAAATATTATCGTTAAAAGGGAAATTTATTACCACTAAATACCTCATTGGTATAATGAAGTAATTTACCAGATAAATATGTACTACTTAATAGCTTTCATTAATGATTGCAATTTGTATAATGAAGTAATTTATAGTACAAATTAAATTTGTTACACAACATTTAATTACTTGACTGAATAAATTAACTAAATAACTCTCATAATCACCTTTGAGAGTCAATTCCCTAAATGGTCACCAAAGTTGAGGGAATTGCCTTGAAATATCATTTATGTTTCATTTAGGACCAAAATATCACTCAACTATCACTATTTTCCTCCAAATATACTTGACACTTCAAAACCCTCACTCTCTCCTAATTGGCATGACATGTCATTAAGAATTTTTTTTAAATAATCGACTAATTTAATTCATCAAACTCATTTAACTAAAATAATGATCGTATTTTTAAAAAAAAAAAAGAATATTAGTTTATTAAGAATAAATTTTCATACTTAAGAATCTTTGATCATAATTAATTTTTTTTTATTTTTTTATGTTATGAAGAATAGGTTTTTACAACGTACTATAATATCATCAATTTTGAATATTTATAAACATGTACATTCAAAAAAAAATATTGATATACAAATCACTCATGAATGCTAACTTACATCAATTAATCATAAATTGTATAATGAATAAATAATATTAAAGGTCAATTAACGGTTACAATAATATTAATCGAGTACTTTGAAATTCATGCGTACCATTTTATTATATTTTTTGAAAAAACAGAAAGTGAATAATATCATATTTTTTATCCAAAAACAAATACTAAATGGCTCAAAAGTCTTCTTCTATTCTAGTTGATATTTCATGTCATTAAATCATCATTTTAAAAAATAATAGACCTATTTAATTCATCAAACTTATGTCTCTACAAAACAAATATATAAATTACATGAGAATTTATGAAGATTATTAAAAAAAAAAATCCTAATTCCTTTATATATTTTTACCAAACAAAATTCAATGAAAAAATTTCTTTGTGCAATTATTACCTGGTAATTTTTAAAATTCCTAAGTAAATTATTCAAAAAATTTAAGCAATTTTTTTCATAAGAATATTCAAATAAATTTGTAAGGTTGACAAAAAAGTTGGTAAGAAAGAGAAAATTATTATTTAACTTTTTTTAATTTAAATTTTTATTCTATATTATATTATATTTTAACTTCTCATACAATTAAACACCAATATATATTCTTATATCATCCCAAATTCATGAAATACAAGTAATAATTAATTGAATTGCCTATTTTAATTCAATAATATACATATTATATGAGATTAGTATGTTGATAAATAAAGATCAAAATTTTATTTTCTAATATAAATATTATTCACTTTCTATTTTCTTTTCAAAGAAAGATATTATTGTAAGTATATATGGATTTCAAAGCACCCAATTAATTATTTTTTAATAGTTAATAGATCTTCAATATTATTGATCCATTAAATAATATATGATTCATTGATGTAAGTTGACATTCATAAGTGATTTATATATCAATATTTTTTGAATATGTTTTCTCATAATTATTCAAGATTGATGACATTATGGTAAGTTTTAAAAAATTATTCTTCACAGCATAAAAAAATAAAAAATTTAACTATGATAAAAGATTATTAAGTATGAAAATTTATTCTTAATAAACTAATATTCTTTTTTTTAAAAAATACGATCATTATTTTAGTTAAATGAGTTTGATGAATTAAATTAGTCTATTATTTAACAAAAATTCTTAATGATATGTCATGCCAATTAGGAGAGAGTGAGGCTTTTGAAGTGCCAAGTATATTTGGAGGAAAATAGTGATAATTGAGTGATATTTTGGTCCTAAATGAAACATAAATGATATTTCAAGGCAATTCCCTCAACTTGGGTGACCATTTAGGGAATTGACTCTCACCTTTGATTGACATGGGAACTAATTAGTAACTAGCTTCATTAGAAGAAAATAAAGATATATGGTGATTTAAGAGATTTTTTTCGATAATCATGATCTATATCGACATAAATTATAATAGTCAAAATGTCATGTACTTTACTAAAGTTCAATCATATCGTGTGATAACAAGATATTTTAATTAAAATATTGAAGAAAAATTATAATTTTGAGAAGAAAAAAATCAAAAGATTAATAATGAAGACCATATTGACATGTTTACAAAGTTTCTTTCATTTACTACGTCCAAACATTGCTTTAATTGAAGTGGAGAAAGGATGACTTGACTAGTTGTTAAGTCAAATAATTTGGAAAACTTATAGTCTCTTTTTCATATTGTATTTAAATTTTAGTTTTTTTGCTTGGTGTTTGAAATTATATCAAGGTCTCATTAAATTTGGATTTAACTTGCATCAGAAAATCTCATATTGAGAATAAAAATGCTCTTTAATAAAGGTGACTTCGTTTGAAGTTGAAATTTTAATTAAAATGAATGAGTACTTACCATACTATCACGTCTAATGGTATATTTCTTAAAATTTATTATAGTAGTTTATTTATATGGCCTTCAAACTTGACCTTGGCTTTGGTTATGTCATGTTCTTCTTTCTACTTTGAATTTTTCCAAGTTGATTTAAGTTTTTAATGTAACTGCTCCAAACAATTAATGACCTTTGAAATTTTAATCTTTAGTTTTGAAATCCATACACATTAAAAAAATGTCTCTTCATGAGATTGATGATTAGTCGAGAAAGCAACAATGACATATTCAGTATAATTTTATAAATAAAAATTTGAAAAAAATAATAATAATACGCAAATTTTATTCTTTTTTTTTAAAATAGAAAAAATATTTTCGATGAACTCTCTTTAAAAGGAAAGATTCCATCTAAATGGGGTCCTTATTTTTGTATTCAATTTAGAGATTCACAAATCTTATTATTGAATTATATATTGGAAATATAGAGTTTTTTATATTTCAAAGAATATTTAGAGGGGGTATTTAATAGGAAGAACAATATTTTAAACACTTGATTTCTTCCACAACCCTTATACTACTATAGTTGATTCCTTCCACAACTCTTAATTGTACATATTCATCATCATTCACATCATTAAAAAATAAACAATCTTAATTATACCATATTTAGATTCATATGTAATATTTTAATATTCTGATATGCATTCAAATTCATATACTATTAATCTTAATAAAAATAAACGATTTAAATTTTCACTTTATTAGTGAAGGTTCAATTCTTCGCCTTGTAATCTTCTTTTTTCATCTTCCCTTCCCGTGCCCACAATTTTAAAAGAAAAGAAAGGACCTAAATGAAAGGTCAATAGTGCATATAATATAACCATATAATACCTCCCTTTGTTCCAAGATAATTTTAGGATATTTTTCTTTACCAAAAAAAGGATATTTTTTATTATTCAAAATTGCTTAGAAAGAGAATATATATATTTTTTAATAGAAAGAGCAATGTGTTGACCAATCGAACTCTCAACAAAATATTTGACATAAACAATTTATTGACCAATTAAATGCATATATTCTGCTTTAATAAGGTCATTATCAACCACCCAATACAGTCTTGATTCCTGATAATAAATATTTTTTTTAAAAAAAATATTTAGTCCAACATATCACTTTGCATTCATATAGTCATATTTTTAGTTTACACTCATATAGTAAAAAATAAATAAATCTTGCAATAGTATTTATATTTATATGATTATATAATCAATGTATCTATTTTGTATAAAAATGTATTAATCTTGTATAATAATTTATAAAAGTGTATAACACATCACTAGCCACGCTACGATTTTCAATTACTACTTTTCTTCAAATTATGTCCAATTTTTCACCAAATGATTTCAAATTTTGTAGACAAGCTCCTTAAACTATTTTCATTGAGTCCAAACAACATTCTCTCCAAGTTTAATTTCTACTAGAAGTCAAATTTGAAATTTAATCTCTTTTTTTTCAAACCTTTTTAACTGTGATAAATTATCTTTTTAATTTTATTTTTATCACTTATATCTTACAAAATTACTACTCTAACCACGATTTGAGCTATAATAAGCACAATAACAAATCAAGTATGTATCATTCAAGAGACGGATACGTTAAATTAAAGTAGATAAATATGAAAGCAATCTAAGTTTTGAATTATATACCGTATGAATCAATTTGAGTAAGAGCTAAAAAAATATGACTCGTTTTGATTATAAATTTGAATCAAGTGATTGAGAATGTAAAAATATTTATCATCCAAATATAAAGGTGGAAATATATTTGAAATTGTAGGTTGAATAATTCAGATATGAATTCTTCTTCTTATAGGATATATTAATTGACTACATTTGAATTATTATTCTCTTGCAGAATATTATTAATAGATTTTGTGGACGGTCTCTTTGTTGATTTTCAATGTCTATTTTTAGATAATTTGGACATTTTCGTTTGTGGCTTGATTTTCAGTTTCTTTTTATAAAGGGGAAATAATGGATTTTAGTCTCTGTGTTATTTGATTATGCACATTTAATCTTCAGTTATTTGAAGTGTGCGATTTTGGTCCTTCAAGTTAACAAAAGTTAACTATTTAACAAAATGATTATTTGATTAAGGTTTAGGGTTTAGAGTTTATATAAATTATATTTTATATATTTTAAAAAAATATACAATTAGAATGATTATTTTCAATATATAAATTGATCTCATTTGCTTCTCTGTTTGTTCTGTTTTTGATTCATTAGCAACTCATCATTCGTCACTTTTCAATGGTTACTAATCAAGGTCAAATACGATTACATTAAAAGGGTTTAGTAGGTGGACATGCTCTTTAAAACTATCAATGGTGTCCTAACAACTTTCGGTCTTTAAAGAGAAAATAGCCAAAAGCCCCCTCAATCTATTAGCCAATTCTCAACTACACACTTATTCTATACGGGGGTCCTATTACCCCCTAAACTATTTAAATATAGAATAATCACCTCCCTAAAAAGTCATAACCAGTTTTTTTTCAAAGTTGTGCAGCACACGCGATGAATCACTCTACATTCATTTTTTTCTTTTTTTTATAAACCTAATCAAAATGATAATTTAATAATACCCTGTAAAATTATGTAAAGTTTCCATTTTTATCAAACCTGGAAATTAAAATTTACAAAAAATGCTTTCAAATGGAGATTGTTTTTTCAAAATACTAATGATTTCTTTAGAGAATAATAAGAGAAAATGAGGAAAAAATCTCTACACCAAATTAAAGAAGAGCAACTCCATAGCTAGTCTACATAAACTTTCAATTTGAAATCGAGCCCAAAAACAAAAATCCACAAATAAGTATTCACAAATGTGGAGTGAAAAACAAATTTGGTAAGAATGAAATTAGAAAGTGAAATTTCAAATTCACCATTGTTGGTTCATTGTGGTTTGACCTTTTTTTTTTTTTTGCGGAATTATAAGGGGTTTAAGAAAAAACTTGAACTCCATATTTGAGCTTCATATATGAAAGTTTCTTATGAGTTAGGTGATTGTTGTTGCTAAAAACGGTTGATGTATGATTAACTAAGCATAAATCAGTAGCTACAAATTGATTTGAAGCTCCTAGAGACGAAATTTAGAAGACCACCATTGAAAGACTTTGAGAAAAACTCGAAGAAATCATGAAATGGGTATAACAATTTTGTGATATAAGAACAAGGAAAGAATTACAAAAAATGAATTAATTGTATAATCTCCAATGAGAGACTGCCACATGGACTATTTGATTCAATTTTAGTCATTTTATGTCTTTTTGTTGAACCCCTACGCGCCTACAAGAGGTGTATTCACCTTCTTGGACAGGTCAGCGTTTAAGGGTCACAAATATCGAAAATAAAAAATTCAGAGGGATAATAGGACCCCCGTGAAGTGTAAGTGTGTAGTTGAGAATTGGCTAATAGGTTAGGAGGGCATTTGACTATTTTCTGGTCTTTAAAATATTTAACATTTAATTTTTATTAAATTTTTAAAAAAGTATACACATAATTCTTCAAGCATTTATAATCATCAACCCTTCAATTTATTTTATTTTATATATTTTAAAATAATCATTTTGTTAAATAGTTAACTTTTGTTAACTTCAAGAACCAAAATAATTGAAGGTTAAATGTGGCATAATCAAAACTGACTAAAATTGAAACTATGCATAATATAGGGATTAAAATCGCTATTACACATACCTAAAATATTGAATTTTCTGGTATAGTTATTTTGCAATCAACTAAATTGTGACTCTTTAAAATTAAGTCCCTCGATTTGGAACGATCGTCATTTACGCGCAATATTTTCCGATCTACACGCAACGTCGTTCCTGCCAAGGTTGTATGTCTTTTTTTCAACTTACTCAAGTCTAACCTATTTGTACCCCTAAGAGGCTCTAACCATGGAGCACACATATCCTAAAAATGCATGTTTCTCCTCCATAAATGCCTTCTTCGGTCGGAGAAACACCAGTAGGTCCTTGAGCGGACCCCACATTAGCCCCAAGACGTTGGTCTCTAACTATAAAAGTAAATGCTTGAGCTTGAGAAACTTCTGATCCAGTAGGCCCGTAAAATTCACTAGGATAAGCGGTATTATTGAACCAGAAAAAATAAGAAGCAATGTAAACAAAGACGGCTAAAGGCCCTAAACTATAAGATAAGTAAGCCTCTCCAGACCGTATAAGTGCGTGTTGACCCCATGTGAAGGGTTTGGTTAAAGATAGAAATAGACCGACTACCGAAGATATTCGTGTTAACTGTTTCGTTTCCATTTTTTCTTGTAGATTGTTTCAAATTCAAAAAGTTTAGGTTTTATACATTAATGATATACAGAATATTTATATAATCAGATCATGAATAAAATAGTTGCATGTAACAATGTTTAGTTAACATTGATTGGTAACTTCAAATAAAGTTCGAGATAATAGTAAGGTCTGTGTACACTCTACCCTCCCCACTACCCTCCCCAGATCCCGCTTTTGGAATTAAACAAGCAAAATCTTCAAGCAACAATTACATCTATTTTTGCAGATTTAGAATAACTCTCAAGCAACTTCACAGACTCAGTAGAGCTTATTGAAGAACTAATTAGATTGAATTCCAACGAACATGGTACCCGCGATTCAGAAGGCCTGGGAGGCGTTTGCAATGCTTGTAATTCGCCTTCAAGCATTTCCACTACTCTAGTCATTGAGGGACGATCCAGTGGATTCATTTGTATGCACCACAAAGCAACTAAAGTCAGCTTCTTTACGTCATCATGTGTCTCATCTAGTACTTCAATCTCCTTTCCCTTGTCAAGTTGATCATAAATCCAATGTGGGAAGTACTGGCTTGACATATCCTCTCTGGCTGCTGAGTTTGTTTTCAAGCCTAAGATATCAATGAGTAACATTCCAAAGCTATAGACATCTGCCTTATAAGATATTGGACCAATGCTTCTGTTGATCAACTCTGGAGCTACATAACCAATTGTTCCCCTGGCTGCTGTTAGAGTAACAATGCTCTCATCTGTCGGGTATGATTTTGCAAGACCAAAATCAGATAGTTTTGGAATGAAATTCTCATCCAAAAGTATGTTGTGTGGCTTGATGTCAAAATGTAGAATTTGGATGTCACAACCTCGATGCAAATATTCAATACCTCGAGCAACTCCAAGAGCAATTTCAAACTTTCTTTCCCAACTTAATAGTTCAGCACCTCCTTCTCGAGGTGTGATGTACTTTTCAAGGGATCCGTTAGGCATGAAGTCATACACGAGAGCATGCTTACATCTCTCAGCACAATAGCCAATAAGTTGTACTACGTTAACATGATGAATCCTCCCGATTGTGGCAACCTCGTTGATGAAGTCTTGCCCATCAGCTTTGGGCTTGCTCAAGATCTTCACTGCTACATTAGGACCACTTTGAAGCTTGCCTTTATATACTGAACCATAACCTCCTTGGCCTAGTTTCTCTTTAAAGTTCCTAGTCATCTTTCTTATGTTGGAGTTGGAATATCTAATTGGCGCAAAATTGTTCTCACCGTGCAGGAAACTTTCAATTGCGTCATAAATCGACAAATGCCTTCTTCGTAACTCAATCATTAGAAATACAACTATGCATGGGAATAGAACGATTCTTGCCACAATGCTAAGCCCTGTGTACAACCATTACAAATAAGCAAGAAAAATTTGGTATAAATAATTCTGAAACTGACTAATACTTCTAACCAAAGGTAGGATAATATAACCAAGGTGTTATGACTTATGTTACGTAGAGGTTATTACAATAACATCATTTCGACATTAGAATGATTTCTAGTAATAAATTTGAAAGACGAAAGATGTGACTTACCAGCTATGGGAAGTATCCATGGGATGATTGCTGCAAAAACACAAACAATGAATAACACAGTTAATCTAACTTGCAACTAATTACCGTTATATAAAACAGAATTGACAATAGAAGTACGACTGCTTACTTGCAAGAACGCGGAGAACATGTCTTTGACCAACTTGATTGTGGTCATCCAAAGAGAAAATACAGAACCGAAAAAAGAAAAACAGTTAAGACTTGCACAGAAAAATTACTAGAAGTGTCTTATATTCTAAGCATGACATTGGGAATGTTCTTACCACATGATGTTTTGAAGAATCTAAAATTGTAAGCTTTGCAGCTGACATCCACACAACGAACATCCGTTGAATTTTCACCATCACATCTATATTCAAGGGGGCACTTGTGACAGTAAACGTGACGAAACCATGAAATCTCAAATCCATATGCCAAAGCATTATGCAAACTTACAATAGAAATGACAGCATTTGCATCCTGAATACGCCATGAAGTCATTGACATGAGGTCTACACTACACCCGACTTTCAAATCGGATGGTGATAATTCAGTCATGGTTGCATACGTGTGTCCCTTAAATAAATCAGAAGATACATTGGAAGCATAACTCCTGTTGAGACAATTAGTGATTTCCACAAAAACTGGAGAATTTAAGGCAAATGGACAGCTGAAGAGAGTAATTGGTACTGTTAAATGAACAAAATCAGGCCTAATAATAAGATTAAAACCAAGAGGGATAGTGTAAAACGTAATCGAATTCTGAGGAAGAGAGCAGATAACTTGTTCTCTTATACCAGGATCTACAAGACGGATAGTGGAGTTAGCGTAATTGATGGCTTGAACATAGTAGTTCAGTGATCCATACCAATTATGTGGAAATATTGTGAATATGGCGCGATTTTCTTCACAGCTCAATTCATAATTTTCATCGCCGCAGTGCTTCGGATCACTTTTTAATCTAAAGGGATAACTGATGTTATGAATATGCCCACAACTAGAGGGGACACACTGCTGTCTCTGATCTGCAAATGGGGTTCCTGAGAGCTGCATGAATATGAGGATTGTAAGAAGAATCTTGGTTTCTCCAGACATTATATTTTATGGTTAACTGTATGTATGTGCCAAACACTGCAAGTTAGCAGTCAAGAAGATCTATGTTTCATCCCGGCCCACGGATACCAATGAATCCTAAAATGGCAAGTCTTCATGAAGTAAGGGAAGTCAGTAAGTCAATCATGGAGGCACAAAACTTTTTCTTGATTAATGAGTCAAGTCTTCATGATGTAAGGGAAGTCAGCATGATGCAAGGCACAATACTTTTCTTGACTAAATGAAAGAAAAATCCAAGCCGTTGTCAAGAAAGAGTGACATCTCTCATTGCATAATTCCTCATGAAGCTGATGAATATCCTTTGTCCACAACCAAGATATCCTCTAGAAGATGTAGCGCGTTTTCTTTTTAAGGTTAGGATGAGGACAAGCTAATGAGATAATGAGACCTGGTCCAATAGTTATTTCCAACAAATGCTTTGCAAGCCATTCCAACATAATCTTTATTTAATTATTACTGCAAACAGATTAATCCAAGTCCTCAACTCTAATTTGCCACTATAACAACAGCAAGTTTCCACTGGAACAAATTACCTGCTGCCTCCCCAGGTTTGGGGCGTGATAAACTTGGTATCAAAGCTGGTCGTGTCATAGGGAGTCTACAAGTCGTGTCAGTCGAGATGACCATCTTTTTCCTCTTGTACTTACTTTCCATCATCATGGTATTGTTGGCTATGGTTGGTGTGGAGCATATGATTGCAGAGAATCCAGGTGTGGAAGTTATGGCCCTAACATTCATTTTCCTTTCAGGCTTCGCCACCAGCCAGAATATTGTGGTTATCCAGGCTTCGAGTTATCTTGTGACCGCGAAAACCAAACCATACTCACACTTCCCAATTCACTTATACTATCTGTAGGAGATATTGATTATATGTCTCAACAGATTAGCCTTTATGATCCTGAACGTTGTCTCATTCTCAAGCTATTGCACCTTAATTTATCAGCATCTCCTTTCTTCTTCACTGTTGAACCTTATCTTACACTAGGTGATTTTTCAATTTTCAAATGTTCTGGTCTGCCAGCAGATTATCGGAACATAGGAACAGCTTGTGCCTCTGACAAAGCAATATTTGCTGTTTACTACTCTTTGGATTCACTCCCCCCTACAACTTGCAAAAAGATTCATGAAATTCTGTCTATTCCCTTGGATACAATTTACAGTCTGATAACACTCAGTTGGCTTAATCCAATCTGTAGCTACTGTGAAGGTCTTGAAAAGGATTGTGGCTTCAAGAACTATACTAAACAACTGACTACTCAGTGTTTCGATCGACCATTTACTACAAAAGGTATTGACAAACCTTTCTTTAATGCCATCATCATGTACTTCTCTTTTCCATAACAAAAAAATTGTGTTAATTCTGGCAGGCACAGTAAAGAAACCACTGATTGCTGGTGGAGTTATAGGTCTCATTCTTTTGGGAATTATTATGATGGCATTCTATGAGTGTTATAGCTCAAGCAAAATTGAAAGAGAGAATCAAGCCAGAGTTGAAAAGTTTTTGGAAGACTACAGAGCTCGCAGACCGACTAGATATACTTATGCAGATATTAAAAAGATAGCAAATCTGTTTCAGGAAATATTGGGAGAGGGAGCTTATGGGATCGTTTATAAAGGAACACTTTCGAATGAAATTCATGTTGCTGTAAAAGTTCTCAATGATTCTGAAGGAAATGGGAAAGAATTTATTAATGAAGTTGCAGCAATGGGGAAAATCCATCATGTCAACGTGGTTTGCCTAGTTGGCTTTTGTGCTGATGGAGTTAGAAGAGCTCTAGTGTTTGAATACTTGCCAAATCAGTCACTTGACAAGCTCATTTTTCCGACAAGTTTCAAAGATAATATCACCCTTACTTGGAAGAAGCTTCATGATATTGCTATGGGAATAGCAAAAGGGCTGGAGTATCTTCATCAAGGATGTGACCAACAAATCCTTCATTTCGATATCAAGCCTCAAAATATTCTGTTAGACCATAACTTGAACCCAAAAATCTCTGATTTTGGTCTTGCCAAGTTATGCTCTAAAGAGAAAAGTGTTGTCACTATGACTGAAGCTAGAGGAACCATGGGTTATATTGCACCAGAAGTGTTGTCAAGCAATTTCGGAAAAGCGTCTCATAAATCTGATGTCTATAGCTTTGGAATGATGCTACTTGAAATGGTTGGAGGGAGGAAGAATTTTGATGCAAAGGCGGATACTAGCCAAATGAACTTTCCCGAGTGGATTCAACAGCGGCTGAATCAAGGAGAAGAGTTGAAAATCAGGATTGAGGAAGATGATGATGTTATACTTGTAAGGAAATTGGCTGTTATAGGACTTTGGTGCATCCAATGGAATGCGACAGATCGGCCATCCATCAAAGTTGTTACTCAAATGCTAGAAGGAGATGGGAGCAATCTAACTGTTCCTCCTCCTTTTACAACAAGAAACACCACTCACGTTGGCCCTTCTACGCAAGAGTTGACGGTAATATCAGAACTAGAATGAATGGAAGCCTAACTTATGGATAAACTCCTGCATCTTAAGTTGTAATGGCATAGTCAGTACAAGTGGAGGTCTGAATTTTGGTATTTTCATTAGATATGTGTTTAAGTCATTATGTTTAGCTGCTACTTTCACAACTCTTTTCCATCCAAAATATGTATTGTCATGATTCTAAACTCAACACTCTCTCAAAAGTTGTTACATATGCAACATCCTAAGGGGTCGTTTAGTTGGCGGCATCAGCAAAATAATCCTAGTATATTATAATACAATATTTGATTAGCTGCACAACAAAGATGATCTCCACCATAACTAGTGCAACACTAATAATAGAATTACCTTTGAATTTACCCCATTCAGAGAAAACAATCATTAAATTTATGTGCAGAACATATCAGATACAATTCATAGACCAAAGAAATACCTGAATTGTCTCTACGGGTGTGTAGCCTTAACAATATTTCTTCAAGAAGGATATGCCCGAATCAAACTGTAATTGATGTGGGAGACATCAAGTTTCGGGTTTTGTAGCAATCAAATAATACAATTCCATAGCAAGGAAACAACAATCTACTTCCTTAATGTTAAGCATAGACCTCGAGTTTAAGGTGTGTAGTGTAAGTTTCTCCATCAACAGAAAAACTATATGAACAACATTCGAGCTAACTTTGCCTTCAGATAATGGACTACAGAAGTTCAAGAGCACCAGAATACATTGCAGATTGTACACTGACCTTTTAGAGTCCCTGCAAAATTAACATAATCTCTTTATTGGACGATGTTGTTACGTCTAAGGAGAGGCAGCCTATACCAGTGTAAACATGGCTATATGTTGGAATGGTAGCAATTGAACAAATAGAATTAATGCATAAACCACTGCCTCCATAGATGTTATCACAACATCTATGCAAACAAAATATGCTAGTCATATCCATCAAAATTTCTCGAAAATTATTCGTGTGACCAGCTAACTTTAGGTTCTTCAAACTTATCCCATATGGAAACAACCCACCCATTTCCAACTTGCTTAATTTCAATGAATACATGTACTACTTGGCCATGATCCCTTTCAGACATTTTATCAAACAAGTAGGAAACAACTCTTCTTGTTTCAATTCTAGCGATGTATTAAAGCATACACTGTACAAATCAAGCTCTCGAGGTTAAAGGTGTTAAATTTGACAAGATTCAAAAATGAATTAATGTGAAGATTTGATAGTTAGGAAGATAATTCTTTATTGGTACAAAAGTCAAGATAGCACATTTTGTAGGTGAAATTTAGGTGAACCATAAAATGGTTTCACAAGGTAAATCTTGACATTTTCTAATTCATTCGTAACACACCTCTCACTTCTCATCTTCAAATGCATTTGATCTTCTTTCTCTCTTGTAGTATTTCACTTGTATTCTTTTGGAGTGAAATACATATTGGTTGGTTGTGTCCGAAAAATAGGCAAAAGCAAACAAAAGTTTGCCGAACCTTGTTAATTCCTGGTGTTCTTTTTATTCACTACTAAAAAACTGCTAAAAACTACTAAGAGATGTCGTCCGTCGCTCTTTAATTAAAATAATTATTTTTTAAATTATTTTACTAAAAGCGACGGACTGCATCTCTTAGTCCGTCGCTTTTTTTACGGATTTTTGCGCTAAATATATATATAATTAATAATAATTTATTTAATATATATAGAGACGTCGTCCGTCGCTTTTTATTAAAAATAATTATTTATAAATTAAACAATAATCACGCTGTCCGTCGTTTTAATTTATTTTATTTTATTAATTAGTTTTTAAAAAAGCGACGGACGGCATCTCTTAGTCCGTCGCTTTTTGGTCAAAATATCTAGTCAAACATTTTTAAAAAGCGACGGACAACGTCTCTTAGTCCGTCGCTTTTTAATTAAAATATTTTTTTTTAATTTTTGTTTAAAAGCGACGAACGGCATCGCTTAGTCCGTCGCTTTTTTTGCGAATTTTTGCTAATTAATTATTTTATATAGATAGTGACGCAGTCCGTCGCTTTTTATTAATTTTAATTGTTTAATTATTTTTAAATTAGCGACGGACAACATCTTTATGTCCGTCGCTTCTTGGTCAAAATATCTGGTCAAATATTTTAAGAAAGCGACGGACAATGTCTCTTAGTCTGTCGCTTTTTGGTCAAAATGTTGGTCAAACATTTTTTTAAAAAACCGACGGACATAGAGACGTTGTCCGTCGCTTTTTTAAAAATATCTGCACTAGCAGACGCGATTTTCTCCATTTCTCCATATAAAAAACAAAATTGAGAAATATATTGATTTAATTTTTTTTAAATCATCTTCCGGAGAATGGTTTTGTGTAAAATAAAAAACAAAAAAAATTATAATACCGACTTCCAGATGTCAGTAAAATTAAATAGTATGTAATAAATTAATATTTTCAATTAACTTTAAATAAATCGTCCTCCGAATGACGGTTTTATATAAGTTAAAAAATAATTTAATATAAAATACCGACCTCCCGATGTCAATATTATTTAATTAACATGATTACTTTTTATTTATCTTAAAATTTAATGTGATACCTACCTCATGAGGTCGGTATTTTTTATTATATCTAATTGCTTTTAATAAAAGCGACATCCGGAGGTCGGTATGTTTAAAATATTCCTATTAATCATAATTTTTCTATTGTGCATAATATTAAAATTTCATTTTACACCTACAATTAATTATTCAAAAAGTGTAACAATTTTGTATATTTTTACAAATAAAATGTTAGAATTCATTAAATAAATAAAAAAATATCTATAATCCATATTTAGAGTATGAAACTGTGTTGATATGAATTAGGAGATAATTATACTTATATTTATAGAGTAATGTACAAATCATATCAGTCCGTCGTCTAATCATAAACTTAATATCTCATGTCATGATGTAGTAGAGGTGAAGAGCTAACATATAATCCATTCCAGTATGAAATGCGAGATAGTATTATTATATACGTTCGATCTTGAATGGATGTCAAGTGTAGTGATCACCTCCTAATTATGATGACATGTAAAGGATACTTCATCGGAGTATGAAATACGTTGATTAATTATATATATATTCCTCGAGTAGTTTAACAAATCAAGTCTTATATACTAGTGGTTCAGATATGAAATACATTATCAATTAAAGAAATACCGATGATCAATTCAAGGAGATTTATATATTAAATTTGATATTGATAAACTTTTGTTGATCAATAAAATTAAATTTATATAATTAGAAGGTATATAATTTAAATTTATAAAATTAACTTGATCGATAAATTAAATTTATTAAATTAAACTTTTGTTAATGTGTAGTTAAATTATACATATATATATGGCCAAACACATATACAACCCCTCTAACTTGTCCACATTTTTCATTTTGGCACTTTATCTTAGCCTTGTTCCATTTTAACCCTTGAACTCCATTTTTTATGTTCCATTTTAACACGAAATACTATTTTTATGATTTATTTATTTTTATATATATTCTTCAATTGCAACTTCTTATTTTAAATCGACATGTGTCATTTAATTTTAGTTAAAAGATTAAAAATTAACAAAAAATAATTCTTTTTAAAAATAATAATTTTTTTAAGAGTGTTATGTATTTTTGTGTGAAAAATAACCGACGAAATTGTGTTGGTTTTCTTTCTTTAAAATCACTGACAACCTAACAAAGTCAGTCGAGTTTTAACATTGTTTAGTAGTGTTATTAGCAATTAACAAGAGTCTTTTTTTAGTAGTGTTATTAACTAAGTCAGTCGAGTCTTTTTGAAGATGGATTTTTTTATTCGTATTGATTTATATTAAAAATTAAAAGTGAGTATTTGCGTTAAATTTAGATAGCCTAGATGATAAGAAAAAATAAACAAGTAATGTTATTTAATTTGATTGAATGTTTAAGAAAGAAAATCAAAGAACTTTCGTCAATTTATTTTCATGCAAAAATACAGAGAAATATCAAAAAATAATATTATTGTTTGAAAAAATTTATGTTCGTTCGCGAATGTTTAATTTTTTTAATTAACAGGCATACATCTGTTTTTTTTAAAATAAGAAATTGCAATTGAAGAACATAAATAAAAACAAATCATAAAAATTAGTATAAGTGTTAAATGGTACAGAAAAAATGTAGTTTAAGGGTTAAAATGGAACAAGGCTAAGTTGGAGTGCCAAAATGAAAAATGAGGGCAAGTTTGAGGGTTGTATATGTGTTTGGCTTATATATATATATGTATGTATGTATGTATGTATGTATGTATGTATATGTATATGTAATTTTAATTAATAAAATCAGCCTCAAGAGGTCGGTATATTTAAATAATTATTTTATTTAGATAATATCGACTTCACGATGTCAGTATGTTGACATCCAATTTTGACAGACCTATAACCCTTTCGGAAGTGCTATTTGGTTAAATACGTGTTTTTTTAAAACTATTCCGAGTTTAAATTTTTAATCGATTTTGTCTAAAAATTATATATTTTAGTTTGCATGCTTTATAAAATTATCGTAAATATTATTAAAATATTTTTAAAATTATAAGTAAAACTCGGAATAATTATTTTATTCAAATGTTTTAAAATTTAAGTGATTTTTATTATATAAAATGTTATAATATTTGTACTATTTTAATTGGATAGCATTTCTTTAATTTTTCTCGAAATCATTTAATTTTTAGCCCATTCTAATCTAATTCCTTTCAATTTTAGCTTTTTCCTTATTCAATTCATTGCAATTCTAGCCACCTCAATCCAATTTCGTTTTTGAATTATAGCCTCTTATATCAATTTTAGTTGCAATTTTAGCCATTCATTCATTGCAATTATAACCCTTTTTGTCCAAATCTTGAAACATTAGTTTAAATCTTAACCATCCATCCTTTAAGTGAATCCTAGATCAAATCCTAGCCGCTCATCTTAACTAATTCAATGGCTCAAATTAAATCTACCTAACCTTCCTACTTTGACCTAAAAAAAGA